ATGTTTTGAAGTCAAGTGAGTTGTGGAACAAAAGTTGGCAAAGGTCATCACAAGTCACATTCATAATGTGATGAAAATTAGGTCATATGTAGATAAGCTTTTCTCCCAATATACATGGAATTACGGGATGATCAGCCGATCAAATTGAAGATCTGCGATTCTAGTTTCTAACGCATTAAACTGCTTGTCGATACACATCGGAGTAGAGAGATGTTAGTATTTTTGCGAGACTACGCATGCAGCTCCCTATGGGACCCACTTAGGCGGTTGAGATATCTTGATATAAATGTGACGCCTACAGCCCCATTTTAACTCATTCGTTTTCACTCTCTTCAGACCCTGGACACCTAAAAACTTTCTCTCAAAGTTCACTCCTGATCCAAGACCTAAACCAAGGGCAAACAACACAAATCAAGTGTCGGAAATCCGGTGGCGTTAGTGTGTTTCTTGTTCTTCTTGTGGTTGCTGATTTTGGTATGGTTCCAGCTCGAGTGGGATTTTTTTAATGTGTTTTACGTTCTGTAAAATACTCCCCCAAGGTTTTCATATCAACCCTAGGATATTTAAAGTCTTCCAAAGTGATTCTAGTACCGCGAAACCTGAATTGATTGCTAGTTTCACTTCCTTGTTCTTGTGGCTGCGTTGGAAGGATATTTTGTGGTGAAGTAAGCTCAAATTGGAGTTTTTCTATCTGGTTAAAGGTATGGAACCTCTTACTTTACATGTATTTAAGCTTATCCAAATTGCGGCTAAGTCGTTGAAGCTGGAACTTGTGATATATCTATTGAAAGGCTTATTAGTAATATTGTTGATTGGTGGACTGTTTTTGGAGGGTTAATATGATTATTATTGATGTTGTTTGGGCTGTTTGGTGGCTTTTAGTAACTTATGGGATGTAGTAAAAATCGTGGAGGTGCTTTGCGTTTTCTTGTAGAATATTGGTTTCGAAATATGAGAGTCAACGCTTATATGATGACAATGAAGTCGGTTTACTCATTGTAGACGTAAGAAGATCATATTGAGCTTGGTTGACGATTGGAGAGAAGATTTATGTTAAGGCACTTCCTTCTTTCTTTTGGCATGATCTACAGTGATATAAACATAAAGGATATGCTATTTCGTAACGGATCTACTCCTAGCAACTAATGTTGTTCTTTCCTTATAAAGTTATTCTAAGCAAGTATGTATGATCCTTGAATCCTATTGAGGTTCATATTGATGGTATGGATGTCCATAATGTTAATTGAAGGTGCGACGACCGCACGCCACTCCAAAAGGTTTAGAACGTGATTCCATGAGTCTAGCATGCATTATATATATGTATTTATTTTACTCTGCTGACCCGCACTATAGTCGGCCGGGTACGACACCTATTATGCAACCACTAATCAGTTGGGTTTACCGAGCTCCACGTGACCGGGTACAATTCTACCTAGCCTTGTGATGGCCGGGTACGTTATTATCGAGTCCTCTTCGAGGCCGGGTACGATATCGTGATGATGGCCACAGAGGCATGTGTTTTTAAAAGTATATATATATATGCATCATGTTACAAGTTGTATCTTCTTTATCTCTATTTATATTACCGTTCTTATTTATGCTTTCCTGCCTTACATAATCGGTACTTTATTCGTACTGGCGTCCCTTTTGCCTGGGAACGCTGCATTTCATGCCCGCATGTCCCGATAGACATGTTGACAGTCTTCCTAGTTGGCTATCAGCTCAGTAGAAGGTGTTGGCGCACTCTACTTGCTCTGGAGTTGCCTATTTGGTCTGTATACTTTAAACATATAATGATTGGTATGGAGGGGCCCTGTCCTGGCCTTTATTACGTTTATGTACTCTTAAAGGCTTTTATACAGATGTCTTGTTTATGGATACTTGTATGGCCTTGTCAGTCTATGCTTTGAGTTTACAAACCATCATGTCGGCCTTATAGGCCCGTATGTCACATGTATAAGTTTGTATATCATGTTAGGTCGTCATATATCGAGTATTTTCTCATATTTTATTTTGGTTATCTCATGGTGGGCTTTCCGAATCATTTACGCATGATAGTATGATAAGAAAGATACATTACGTTGGTACTCTATTGAGTAAGGCACTGGGTGCCCGTCGTGGCCCTGTGATTTGGGGCGTGACAGTGGTCATTGTTTAAATTCCGCCAATTTTGAGAACAATCAGCTAAGACCAGTTTCTTGTGGGGCCATTCCTGTCCCGGCATTTGACATCAACGTCTAGTAACACAACAAAAAGATTTAGTAGCTCTGCTTTTACCGTTAAAAATGGAGACATTATCGTTAAGAAAGAGAACCAAAATGTCAAATACCTTAACGACCAAGATTGACTACATGCTGGGATATGACTAATAGCCCGTTTGGTCAAGCTGCAAAAATCAGCTTATTTTGAGAAGTGCTTTTTTTAAAAAAATACTTTTCTCAAAAGTACTTTTGGTGAGAGGCAGTTTATGTTTGGCTAATTAGTTTGAAAAGCACTTCTGAGCAGCAATTAATGTTTGGCCAAGCTTTAAAAAACTGCTTCTAAATGTATTTTTCTCAAAAGTGCTTCTCAAAAAAGTGCTTTTGGAGAGAAGCTATTTTTTTCTGCTTCTCCTCAAAAACACTTTTTTTCCTTCCAAAAGCTTGGCCAAACACCTCAATTTTTTGCCAAAAGTGCTTTTGGCAAAAAAAAAAAAAAAAGCACTTTTGACCAAAAAGAAGCTTGGCCAAACAGGCTATAAGTTGCCCGGATTTAATCACGAGATCTATCCCAAGGAGTAATGGTGGATTTACCTTGCCTCAATCGGTGGCAAAGAGATATTAGTTGGTCGAGTTTTTTTTTTTTTTAAATTAAATATGTACGTTTGAATAATAAGCAAAACTAAAATGTTGGTATAAATATTAGAAAAAACCTCTTGATTAAAACTTATTTACAAAATCAAATGGATGATGAGCGCCTTATAAAGAAAATGAAGTATTTAGTAATATTTCTAATAGGCTATCATGAATACGTTTCCAAAATTGAAAATGCTTGAAGGGGGGTTGTAGTAATGTACTTGAATGGGTATTTTATTGATATGAGTTAAATTGTGTTTTTTCTAATAAGATGCCATATACTGATTTATTCATTTGTTCGCCTCTTCAAATAACCTGCTTGATGCCTTGTTCCACTGGGATGAGGAAACAAAAACCTGTCTTGCACTCGAGGAAACTGGTTTTCTGACCTTGCATCGTTATGATTCTGATAAGGAAGTGACACAAACTCAATGACCCAGCGAAAATTCATTCAGACCTCTCATCTCTTGTATATTGGGTAGTAAGAAGGATGTTTTATTGGGGCAACCCCTTTAAAAAGATATGAAGCAAGTTGTGAGAGGATGTGATATCTGTAAAATGAATTGTAAAGGCGACCATGTAGCTTATCTTGGCTTAGCCCTTATCTGTTCTGCGACGAGCGAGGGCTCAAGTCAGCATGAATTTTGTGTTGAGGCATTACCCAAATCAAAGGGAAGATACTCCACCACTTTGAAAATTGTCCCAGCTAATAGAAAAGAGCTTCTTTCCGCATGGAGAATGACGCTGACATATGTAGATGATTCACTCTACATTTTCGTTAGTTACATGCTAAGGTTGAATAACTCGGTTATATGCTAAGGTTAAGTTACTCTGTACACTGAATCACGTCATTGAGGCAAATCAAAAAGTTTAAGAAAGAGGTAGCTGCAGTTTTTGAGGAATAAACAGAACCTTACTGCGGAAGGGGAGCCTTGACGTAACTGGTAAAGTTGTTGCCATGTGACCAGGAGGTCACGGATTAAGGGTAAGGTTGCGTACAATAGATCTATATGGTCCAGCCCTTCCACGGACCCCGCGCATAGCAGGAGCTTAGTGCACTGGGGCTACCCATTTTAAACAGAACCTCACTGCACGAGTGAGTGTGTGTATGAGAGAGAAGGAAATATACTTTCGAGTGTGTGTGTGAGGGAGAGAGATTGATTTCCGAGTTAAGGAGCCGAAAATTGATCAGGGAGGCTCCAAGTTTTGCAAACAGAGCTTCTGGAGAGGTCAGTGGCTGCCTCTCCCCAACCCTTGGCTTCTCCTCGTGCGATGCTGCTACTACTTCAACCATCCCTTCTGGAAAAGCCTTTTCCAAAATCATACTGTTAATCAATTTTTTTGTGAGACTTTCTTATACAGTTCATTCGACTTTTTTGATTGTTCTGACACTGGAAATTAATAAAAGAAAATTGCAAATTCGAGGTAAATAAATCTAAGAAACTAATATACGTTTCTGTTCATGGAAGTTCTAATACACATGCCAACATAGTGGGGCTCCTAAGAACTGTAACCCCCAACATAAGGTCTCAGAGTATTGCGTACCATTGTCTTTCGGGGAAGATCGTTGATAGCTTTTCAGCTTAGAATTTTGAGAACAAGGATTTGCTTCTTGTTGGCTATGACACAAATTGCCACGACCCCTGTTTGAATTTACAACCATCACAGATATCAGTTGTCTTGTTCACTGCACTGGTTTTCCTGAATTTCATATCCCTTCTTCAACGCCTTTGTTTGCCCTTATGATTGTGCTGAGAACAAAGTACTGAGAGATGGTAGGATTATGTATAATTATCGTTAGAATAGCTCTATATGGAGGTGATGTCAGAAAGCCACGGATCATGGGAGGTGGATGGGGGAGAAAAGGAGGCCAGAAATGTAAACAAGAAACATCTGCGACTTGCAAATACTTCTTTCTTTTATAACCGAGAAATCACTTTGAGAGTTAGTTGGCACAACTCCCGGTGGTCCACCTGATTTTTAGATAACTCCAACTTGCGGATACTTTAGCACAAAAATAGAAAATGCTTCTACAGGGCATCTATAAATAACAATTAGACGGAAACTTAAATGTTATTGATTTCCTTAAAACGCATCGCCATTTATAGATCATAGTATTCTTCCACGTAAGTATGCATATATATGATTCAAAAGCGAACACAGCAGTGAGTGCATCTAATTAAAGATTTGATAAATGCAAAGAGAAACAATTTACAAGAATTGCGAAGGCTACGAGGAAGGTGCAGTCATGTATGATGACTGTTCTAATAAATAAGGAGTATACAAAAGACTAATATTCACAAAATTTCCCACAGCCTTTGGCCATAAAAATGATAACTACCCCCTTGAATACAAAACGGGAAATAATACATGGGATGATCTACGGGGATAAAATCAAAATAGGAATCCCTCAGTGAGCCGGTGAAACAAGGGGCTTTTACGAAAGTGAATTACGTAACATCAAAAGGAAAAAAGGAAAAGGATAAAATCCTGTACACGTACCTCTATATATGTCCCTACCTTCCTGAGGCTCTAGGGCGACAATAATATACAGAACCCAAAATTTAAGCAGACGTCCCTCTAGTATAGCTAAACTTTGAAAATTCACCAACTTGCATAAGGTGATGCCCTCAGGGACAACGAGCTTCATCTGAAACATAAAATAAACAAGAATTAGCAAGTTCTGCCAGGTATTACCACCATGTTCTGCCACTTCACCAATATCATCATTCAACAACCAAAACTATCTTAACCAAAAAAGTAGGGGAGGTGATCAATTGAAAGCTGCATCAAAGCATGTCTTTACATTTAAACTCAGTGAATGGGGGTGAGCCCTTGCGGCTGTATCCCCATTGGAAGAACCTTTTTCTAAAGCATTTCAAGTAGTTCATTCCTCATCATTGGATACCAAGACTACCAATAGAACTCCAATGCAAGTCAATTGACTTCAGTACATATTAACATAAAAGAATGTCTTACCTGTACACCGCTGTTTCCCAGGCATGCTGACCCATTCAGGGACTGATTAGCCAAAAAGGAATTATCCTTTATCTGTTGAAGGTGGTTTAATCCAGTCTACAGTCATTGGGCCTAGCAAACGAACTGCTATTCCCTGCTTGCAGAATCTGAGCCTGTTCTTGTGAATGTTGCAATGGTGAAAGCTGCTGCTGCAACTGTGGCTGGGTCACTGAGGAAGGAGGTTGCAACTGGGAGGATTTTTGCTGCCAGTTGAAACTATCAGGCCCTGTTAGAGCCAAGTTGCCCGAAGATTGTCTTTGGCTTACCCCTTGGCTGATTTGAGGCACCGACTCACTGCCAGCAGAATTTGTTGGTGGAGTCCCAATTGAATCACACAATGGTTCTGTACCCTTCCAATGATTAGCACTCAGAGTTGAAACATCTGCGACATTAGTTGCATCATTGACGTCCTGAGGCATTGAGGTGATTGCACCTATCTCAGAAGTTTTGCACATAGGGTGTTGTTCAGCTTGAGGTTCACCAGCTTGCAACTTCTTTGATTGATCTGAATTTACTACATGGTTCTGCTGCAATACCCGTTGTACAGTTGCTTGGCTTTGATTCATCAATTTCGGCTGTGGCTGCACCTGTGGTTGTTCATGCACCAATCCTTGGTGGTTGGATGAACCCGTGACTGAGGATGGAACAGATTGCTGAGATGAAATAGTATCAGAGGGAGCCAATGAGCCAGGACCTTGATTGCTATTATCCTGATTATGCATCTGCTGCTGAAGATGCTTGGTAGATGGAACTAGTTGGCCAGAGTAAATCTTAGGTTGGGGCTGACTTGAAGAATGAGGTGCCACAGCTTGCTTTGCAAGCTGGACAGGGCTGTGTGCTGTACCAGAATATAGTCCATGACCTTGCATCAAGTGAGTGGCTTGCTCACCTTTCTCAGCAGATTGATTTGTTTGATTGTTCGAAAGCCCATTCAGTAGAGAGGGATCTATCTGCAAGTTCTGGTGCATCATCATGTTCCCTCTGCCAACTCCCTTCAACAATTTAGCTTGTTGTTGAGATTGTGACTGCTGACGCTGTGGAGGATGGTGCCTGCCTGCTTGTTGAAGCTGCTGCTGCCCTATCTGACGTTGCCTTTGCTTGCTCATCTGAGTAGTTACAGTGCTGCCCCCAGTTTGAGCAGTCCGTGCAAGCCCATGATTTGGCAATGCGTGATGTTGCGGCATTGGGGTCATTGAGGCGGGGGACGTCAAAGGAGAAAGTGATACCGGCGGAGAAGAAGATTGTGATGTGGTCTTGGGACTATTTTGCAAAGAAGCTGAAATAGGAAGTTGGGGCTGCGAATGTGAAAATTGTTGTTGTTGCACCAGTCGCTGCTGCAGGTGCCTCTCTTTAGCTAATCGAAGTGCATAAGCTTGTTGCTGTGAGTTGGTGGCATGATTAGCCCCTTGAAGATGAGGACGATGAGGGCTAAGCATAGGTGGCTGATGTGATTGCCGATGATGAAGTGGATACGATGTGACGGGAGAGGCAGACTGGTTGGGGAAAGAGGAACTTAACCCACCAAATGGAGAGACCACTTGACTGTTTCCTTGAAGCTCAGGAACCATCATTTGCCTCTGAACTTCCTGATTCTGTGGAGGCTGTAAGAGAAGGATACCGGGACCGTGTCATTGAATTAAACATGTAAGGAATATACAAGATACCGCAGAATTGAAAATTAGATGTTCATAACATGCTCCTATATATCAGCAACCACAAAAAGAGCAGAAAATGATGCAGAAACTAGCGTCAAGTAACAACATAACAGCCAAACACGGAAGGAGTTGCTAGACAAAGTATACAAGCTTGGAATGCATCAAAATTGCAGATTGGAAAGTTAGATGACCATAACTGACTCTTATACATCAGCAATCACAAAGAAGTAGAATATGATGCAGAAACAAGCGACGAGTAACAACTTAAAAATTGTGGAAGTGCATAATCTTCACAGGACACTCAAAGTCTATCCCTTCAGTATAGAAAAGTGCATCTACTCTCCTAACGAAGTCGGGAAATCTTATATCTGAATGCAATTCATTGAAAGCTAAACAATCTTTATCTTTGCAGGTTGTCTTTTCTGGATTTCGCTATAGCTGTGATTTTGTAAGCATTCAGTACATCTTCTATCCATTAACTAGAAATAAATAAATGCTCATCGTTCAGACACTTCTAATTGATGACATGCTTTACACGTCAAAATTTGCAAGTTTGCCTAATTGAACTGTTAGGTTCACATGTTCTCCTACCAAGATCATGTGGACTCTACTCTCTAAGAGCAAAGTGACAACAGACCGGATTGTAACAAAGTCTTACAGGTTACAGTTAAAAGATATATCTATCTATCTATCTATCTATCTATCTATCTATATATATATATTACAGAGAGAGAGAGAGAGAGAGAGAGAGAGAGAGAGAGGAAGATGGTTGTAACAAAATAGCAGAGAGCTATTTAAATCGTCTCACGAGGTACTAGCAATCCTTTGGATCGACTCAACAAGGAAAGTTTTCCGTATACCAACTTCACCAATGGACCGAATGAGAGCAACAAAAGAGAAGCAATCAAAACCCAGCAGCTAACTAACCCGAATCATGTGCGAACCATCGTGAGGTCTCATCATTGAGTTCACCTGATTAGAGCTCACTCCAGAATGCATATTCACAGTGTTTGGCATTGCTCCCATCCCGGAGGAAAGCATGCTTCCAGAATTCAACATAGGCGATGATGCAACTCCTTGAAACCCAGGCCTTGCCATTGGAATACCTCTATTGATCCCACACATCATGCCCGTACTATTGCCACTGGAAAGTATACGAGCACCACCACGATCAGTGGCTGCAAGAACTCCAGGAGCAGCTATATTGGATTGCATATTTCTCATTTGATTATACTGCTGAAGTCTCTGCTGTTCATCAACTGGAAGAGATGCAGATCTAGGAACAACATATCTACCATCCCTGGGAGCAAAATTACCCAAATTGGAACATGACGAGAACAAGCCAAAACATTATTTTAAGCATAACCCATTCATTACCTAACAGATGCATTGAGAGGACTTGATGGAAAATTGTTTCCGCTAATCATATTGGACGACCCATGGACTGCGGAGTTTGCACCAGACGCTGGGAGCACTGAGTTTAATGCACACTGACTTGAGATAGATAATTCACTTGGGTGCGGACCTTGGCATCCAACAGAAATATAGTCTGGACTCGAAGGCGCATCACATAGGTCCAAAGGTCTTCATATAACAAGCAGAATGAACCAGTAAAGGAAAAGAATTATTAAGAGTTAGCCAAGCTTTAGTAACAACCGAACTTGAGAAGTGTCCAACTCTTACTAAGCATTGCAGAAAGACTTACGTAAAAATAGGGCCTCCGTTCAGATTATTTGTACAATGTTTGGAAAGAACATGTGTGTGAGAATCATGTGGTTGCTGGAGTTGTCTCGGATCATGTTTATAACCCTAAATTGAAACAGGAATGTATACATCAACTTGGAGCTCGGATGTATAAAAGCAAACAAACAGAGAATAAATTCCTGCTTTGCACACATAAAAAACTTTTAAAATGAATTTCAAACATATGAATTCTCACGGATCACATTTGGGGTCAATGCAAGTTGGGGTCCACCATATGAATTCTTACGGATCAAGTTCTCCATTTAAATTCATCTCATGCCAACATTATACAAAATAAAACAAAAATAAAAAGGACTAAAGTTCTATCTATCTCCTACTGGAATAAGAATCTCTAATAGGACTAAATTCATCGCAAACCAACATTATAAAAAATAAAATAAAACTGAAAAGTATTTTCTACTGGAATAAGAATCTCTAATAGGGCCAAAAGACTCCTAGAAAGCACAAGACCTAAAGCAAACATATTAACATGACTAATATATATTCTCAATTAATTGGTATCGCCTATAATAAATCTTTTTCTTTCAAAGTGTCCATCTTTTGCTAAGCATGCATTGATTCCAAGAGATTGTAGATCTTCCGAGACAATTTCCTTCCATGAGATGGGTCTATCTCGTTCCTTTTTAACACCTTCACTCACCATGGTTTTACACTTAAGGATCAGTGCATCTGGCAAAATCAGCTTAGTTTAAAAAATGCTTCCTACTAAAAGTGCTTCTTAAGAAAGTGGTATCAGTTTGTTTAGTTAAATCATTTGAAAAGTGCTTTTCTCGGTTTTTTTGAATTTGGCCAACATTTCAAAAAATGTTCAAGTTTCAAATCACAAAAAACGTATGCATATAAGTTGTCACCTATTTATCAATTAGCAAGAAGGCTCACAAAAATTGGTCAGACTTATTTCTGTTAATAAATTAACGTTAAATTTAATAAGATATGAGCATCATTTAAAAGATTAACATTATATAAATAGATAAAGAGCCTGCAGATTATGATTTATAATTTCTAATATAGTTTAACAATTGTTAAATATAATTTCTTAATGGAATATGTTTACCAAACAAGTAGAGAAGCAAATCCAAACCACAAATAACTTAAAAATTACAACAAAATAGAAGAAGGAAAGATTCGACTAAAGAATATTAGTGGTACTCCCATAATAATCTGTCAAAGAAATAGAGTAAAATGTATGTTGAATATTTTAATTGGCTGAAATAAACAAAACCTTATAGTTTTCTTTAAATCAAATCCTACTACCGACAACGTACATAATCTCCTATTTTTAAATATTCTCACTTTAATCATTTCTCTCGCTTACTGTTAATATAACATAGCTAAATTAACAATATTAAATTTAAGGGATAATTATGAAACCTAGAAAGTTACAGGTATTAATTGATAAATATGAATTTTTGATATGGATATTCTTGTCCCCAAAAAAATAAAAAGCCCTTAATTTTTGTGGAGAAGTTACTTTTTTCAGCTTCTGCTTAAAAGCTAAAAGAACAACTTCTGCTACTATTCAAACCCAATTACTTATTCACAAAAAGCTTGGCCAAACAGGCTATTAGTTAGGGAAGGGTCGGTTTCCTGCACTTAACAGCTTGGATTCCCATGGTACCAGGAAAAGTATGTTTTTTACTTGGTTGGCAGTAAGGGGAGGACCACTCACACTTGAAGATTTGAGAAAGAGGGTTGCATGTCAATTGGTGTATTATGTGCAAAAAGAATCTGAAGACGTGGATCATCTCTTGCATTGCCAGGCGAGTTGATGAGAGAACTTTAAGATGGTTGGGACTACAATGGACAATGTCAAACACAATGACTAAGGCCCCCTATTCAGTTGGGCCTTTGAAAGGAAGAGAAGACGAAGGGCATGGGATGTGCCCCACTAACACTCATGTGGGTGTCATCGAAGGAGAGTAATGGGAGAATATCCATGAAAAACACTAAGTGATTTCTTCCCATCCGCTTAAGCCTGTACTTGTGCTAGTACCCGATACCTGTGCTGGTAGGAGGTATTGAGACCTAATGGAATAATTGAGACGCGCGCAAGCTGGCCGAACACCACTAGGAGAATTGTGAAGGAATAGAAAATGACTACATACATCAAGGAATAGTCTCTCATTTCTAGAATTGTTTTTTGGTATACACATGATGTTCTGATTTGCAAAGAAGTTTGGGTGTTTTTTCTTTAAGGATCATATTATTTGATAGGTTCTCTACCTTTTGGTATACTGCTGATATGAGGGAGAGTTTTCCATCATTCATAAATTATTTACCTTATAAAAAGATCAAGCTAGGTGTTTGGTTTCATTAGATGTCTCAAAGTGCACTCTTACATTTTGTGGATGTCTGGGACATTAGTAAACCCATATTACTACAAGGACTTAACAATTCTGACCCATCAGGTGTTGTAGCTCTATTGTTTTGAGCAATGCATTGCAGAAAATTTAATCCCCTTTTGGTCCTAGTATGATAGAAGCCGAATGGCCGCCCCAATTACCAAAGACACCTCCTATAGTAATTTCATCAACACGTAATGAACATGAGGGAAGAAAATAAAGTTGTTATATGTATATACTAAGCAGGCAGATAACAAACCAGCAAATTGCAGTTCAACGACCACAAATTAGCGGCTCTCACACTCTAATATGGCGAAGAAGCTAGACAAATTTTATGGAGAAATACTAATGCAAGTATATACCTGATTCTTCCGTAAAAGATATTTCTGCCCAATCAAGATCATTTTCTCAAAATGAGATCTAAGTGTATCCTCTTCCATTGGCCCCTGCAAACGCTGAAACAGTTGCCTAGCACTTCCCTGAATGATGTTTAGCATGTTCATTCAAATTACAGAAAAAGGGCAAAGAAGTTTTAACATCAAAGTACTAGAGTAAGCAAAAGCAATCCTGAACCTTGGGAATGCCAGGTAATGTTGAAGGATAAGGTTGAGAAGATCCTGAATCATCAGCACTATCAGCACCATCACCACTACTTCTGTCCATCAGTATTTTGTGTCGTTCTTTGCATTCTTTTGGCTTGCGGTAGATACACTGTATTTACTCAAGACATTCTTTAGGAGCAAGCAGTGAAAAGATAAGGTAAAAGAAAATTTAGAAAAGAAAACTAGCAAGCAGTAAAGAAAGTGTAAATATAGGGAAGATCTAAAATCATCTACTGTAGTCTGGCTAAAAGATGCTAAGAAACCTCATGACTATGCTCACCTTGAATTGTAAAGTACTGTTGAAAGCATCACTTACAAGCTCCCAGTTTGGACCCATGTCATGCACCAGGACCACTAGTGCCTAAAATTTGAAGTCAAATCCATTTATACACCTCATGCCAGAAGAACTACAATGAAAAAGGAAACAGAAGTAGGTACATGATTATCAGATAAAAAAGAAACCAACCTGGTCCTCGAATAGTGACCATGGACTTCCTGAACCTGGTTGTCCAGCGGACATCTGCATGAGATTGTAACAAACAAATTCATTCTTTTAGTGGATAGATCGTCAGATAATCATTCTTACAAATAAAAGCAAATTTGAAATAAAACAACATATTCTAGCATAAATAAGCACCTTCAACGTTTTGGCTCTCCTACCCTGGTCCCTACCACTAAGCATTCTCATAAGTTTATTTGGGTTGGACATGTTACTCATCTGGGAAGCCACTGGAGATGGGACAAATCCACCACCAGCACCTATATTTTCAAAAGAATTTTCAAGTGATTGCCTCATCATCTTTGGCTTCTTTGTGATATGTTGACCGACTAAACCTTCAAAAGAGAGAGTGCCGTTATACAAGAGAATATTTAGTATCAAACGCTAAAACTGATGCAAAGTTAGTAAAAGCCGTACCATTACTACCATTAGAATCAAGTTGATGGCTCTCCAATCTCTTTCGGGAAAAGTCCCTCTGAAACCAAACAAATTATAAACAATCACAAAATTGTTACAGAAATGTGTGCGCGCGCAAGAGATCCGGTTATCAAGGTACAACAGCATTGCCATTCTTAAAACCGTCAAAAGGATGATAGTACATACTTCTCCAACATGCTGTAGATTGAGTCATCAACAGCACAGAAGCATCTGTTGCATATAACTTGGATTTTGCTAAAGCAAGATCATTGCATATTCACATACTTCAACAGCAAGATCAACAAAGAACATGAAGTTTTTTCCCCTCCCCAAGAAAAAGGAAATTAAATGAAAATAACCACATAAGCAAAGAGATATATCAATGCCCAGTAAATAATCAAGAAATCATAGTTGTTTCAAGCTTCCAGAGACTGGCAGGAAAAGAGAACAAGACCAAAAGATCAAGACAAAAACTTCTGTAAAGTAGCGTCCAATACTAACAGGAAAAAAACTAACTAATAAATCGAGCCGCTATGTGAAAAAAAGAGAGAATAATTTGACAAGCTATTGAGAAACACCTATAAGTGGATTGCTTCCCTAACTGAGCTCCAATTGGGAAGTGCAAAAGCTTTACGGTAAACTGCAGTCAGATTCACAGTGAATAAGAAAAAGGAAATCACCTGCTCGTTTTGAAAATTAGAATCAGCCGGCCATCGCTGTTCATATGCGGAACCCTGCATCAATGAGAATGCAGTCATCAAGAAAACCGAACACTGAGATGCTTCTAAACCAAAAAAAGTTTACTGAGGATATAGCAACTTATCAAGTACCAGAATCTTTGATTTTTTCTTCTTTTTAGGTTTTGAAACTTCACTGGAGTCAAATGGTAAATGCTTTTCGAAATCGCCAACTGACTCAACGTCCAAACTATTTGGCATATGTGATCCCCCATGCAAAGTACTCTGATCACCCTGAAATGAACTTGTATCACCACTTGAAGCATCAGTTTTGATTGGCAACTGAGCACATCCAGATGTTGTTGCACTGTAAGGACTAAGAACTCTTTGCCTAGAAGCAGTACGCATACGCTTTGTTGGAATAGACACATTAAGATTGCTTGCTGGCCGTTTGCCCAGTTGCATAGATTGATGAGTACCAAGTTTGTTTTCCGCACGTTGTGTAAATGGTACATCAGTGCGAACATCATATGATCTTCCATTATATGCCTTTATGAGGATCTTCCTTTTCTTCTGGGAAAATCTTGACAATTTGTTACCTTCAATGGCAACAGATATGTCATATGGACTTGTCTCTCCTTCATCCTCTTCAAATGCATAGTCTTGAGATCCAAAGTCTGCTTAGAGATACAGCAAGAAATGTGACCAACTAGAAAGAACAGTACCAGGAGGCAACAAACTCCCAACAACATAAAATATAAAAAGAGAACAGAAAAAGAAAGGAAACCTGGAACTGTATTGCATGCAGATGTCTCCACCTCTTCATGCATACCAAATTTCTGAAATTTCAAATAATGGACTAGCATCAACAAGTGGGATTAGAACACAAAAACATACTGCTAAAGCCAACAAGGACGGTGTTGGCTACAAGGTCGGACTGAATATATCTGAAATGCAACTCTTTCTATTTCCTTTATCAGTCAAAAGCACCTGGCATGTTGATGTCTATTGTTGTGTAAAAACAAATAAGAACAAGCAATATATCAATCATGAAATTAAAAGTACGGCAGCACCTGTACGTAATTTTTTTATAAAGTAATAAATTTCATTAAAGAAAGGGCAAAAGTGTGCCCGAAGTATACCAAAAAGTAGAAGGCCTCATAAAAAAGGCAGCACCAATATGTAGTTTTAGATACTTCCCCTGTACCGAATAATTTGTCCTACTTTCTATTCAGGATTATGGCAAAATTGACTAAGGAAACTTACTCCATGCACAATTCAATACTTCCCAATATTCTAATCGGAAAAAAAGTGCTACAGGCCCACTTTCAAACTAGGAATTATTCAAACAGTTGAAAGAACAGCTTACACTTTGGACGGCATACTGTTCAAATTTATAATAACATTCTTTACATAAGAAGTATATGCAGAATGCTCAAGAAAATAACTTGGTTCCAAAAACAAATTACATCGAAAGAACAACTTCTCCCATTAACTAACGACCTAAGTAACACAATCATCATATGTTATAAATTCCATGTTAAGGAAGTGCTCCATAGGAGGAAAACTCCAAACTGTACATTCTTTTCTTCCCCAAAATCCATTTATTATTTAGTATTTATCCCCTTAGGCAGCAAAAGAAAAAAGCCAATAAAAAGGATGAATATTAAAAGTTAAACCTAAGAGAATAAAAGAACACCAATTAAGGACAATTAGACACAATTCAGAGTACCCGAGAACACTGCACTTGTAACAAATGTCAATTAAGTTATTACATTCACTTCCTGACTAGACCTTGAATAAATTCAAGTTAGAGTTCTATTAGGATCTCATAATACTTTTATCTAGGGCAAGGTCAACCAACTGTGTTGGATGAAACCAGCAATTTGCAACTCGACAAGTCAGAACATGCAAAATCAAGCATTGGCGAAATAGTGATTCTCGATATATTACCGCATAGTGCAGCACATGAGATTCGATGGACTTTCTGTAGGCATCCATTGCTCCAAGAGAGACAGCATAGAAGAGGTTCTCCTGCATGAAGGCATGAGGATCACTTAGAAGGATTTACCTTTTGCTGAATAAAAAACATAAACAAACAAAAGAGCAACAAGTATCACCCCAGAAAATGAAATAGGTAAGCATTCAAAAGATCCCCAAAAATATGTTCACTGAGAAAAATTTAAAGACCAGAGATCAGAAGACAGTGACGCTCAAAGATATATACTTCTCTGAAATGATCTTCCTGGGGCGCATCAATGATTCCAGCATCAGACACCCTCTCTGGAGTCACTGGAGCTTCAGCAAGGCTTTGTGGAACATCAGAGTCATTGTATTTCAGAAATCTCATGGCATATTCCCTAATAGCAAGGGCATGATCCTTTCTAAAGATCGGCATCTCCAGTTTTTTGCTTTTCCCCTGCCAGGATCATCACAAACTACGAATTAAGGGACAAAGACCTCCGCTCCAGCCTTTCATTGGAAGCAAGTACACAGGGAAAAGCAGAAGTTAATTGGAATTAGTAGCTTCTGAAGCATTGTCATTTGTTCTAATGGTTGCCCTATTTAATTATTACCAGCAAAACTTAAAACTTTTCTGGTAGAGAACAACCATTATACTTTTCCCAACTTTAATTTGATTGCGTTGAGATCACATACATCAAGGCAGCTCTTCAACTCAACCAGCTTATGTATATACAAGTTCAAGTTAGTACATTCTCTTAGAAATATTTGCTGCTTACCCAATGCTTATGTGAGAAATGAATCACATAACTGATAATTCTTGGTTCAATCATACAATGTAGCTCATACAATGCAATGGAAAATTGCTGCAAACGCTGTCTAGTCTAATAAAAGAGCTCATTAATTTCACTGTTGGAATACAAGAGTATATACATATATATATGTATGTATGTATCAAGCAATTGCATGAAAATAACTTTTAACTTTTAACCATTGGTTTCACCCTTCTATCCCCATATAAATTTAGAGGGGGGCCTTTGATCAGATAATGATACAAGCCTCTATCTGCATATAGAAGAACTACAATAAAAAAGTAAATGAGCATACATACACACACATAAATACACATATGTGTGAGCTTCTGTGTCTATGTATGTGTGCGTATCAGATCAGCATAGTGTATCACTTATTCCATACCCAGATATTCATTTACAAAAGAAAGGGGTTATGGCACTCCATAAACCAACAGGCAGATAAACCCATGCCAACTGCCAATGGACAAAAGAATTGCTCAACCAGGGAAGAAAAAAAAACCAGGGCATGATTAGTTACCCCTTCATAGAAAACTTGTTTTTCAACAAAGGAAAAGCAAAAACATAACAAAAAAGAAATACTACTTCATATCTATATACCTCAATAGACTGCCAGAAACCCATGACAGCTTTGGCCATAATATGAGCTACCTTTTTTAGCTCCCAACTACTATGTTGTTCTTGGAATCGTGACCGCGCGGTAAAAGCCACTCGGTGACACATTTGAGCAGCTGTAGTCATTTTCCAAAGACGTTCCTACATGATGAGAGACTTTTAAATAAGTGGCTAAGTTTGGAGAAACAGACTGAACAAATTTCCAGAACCTAAATGAAAATTTAATCATGTTTCAACCATTCGGTTATGGAACTCATTAAAAAACTACTATTCAAAAATGAAAGTGGCTCTAATTGAAAACAAAGATCCAGAACCTTAATGAAAATTCAATCAAGTTTTGACCATTCAGTTCGGCATTAAAAAAAGCTATTAGAAAAGCAAAAATGAAAATGGCTCTAATGGCAAGGGTCAATTAAGTCACACCTGAGCAAAATCATTTGCCAGCCAAACCATTTCCTCAAGTACATAATCCCAGTGGGATTTGCGACGATTCTCCACTGGAAAGGTCACTGCAGATAACTCTGCAATCCTTTTACGTTTCGCCTGTTTGTTATATTACACATTAGATCTTTACAGCCAAATAACGAACTCATAGCAAGATTTTTACAAGCCCAGCCAGAAGAAGATGTGAATTAGTTTTAAAGATTAAAGCAAAAACCTCTATAATCTGTGCCTCTTTCAAGATTGAGTCTTCATCACCCCTGGTAGCAAGTTTAAAGTTGATCCCAGATGCTTGTGCCTCAGGGGAAAGATTTGAAACTCCATGTGGTGATACATGCTGAGAAGGCTCAGGTATTCTGGACTCAACTGAAGCCTGACGTCCAATAATACAAGCATTTCCTTTTTGGCGGTTGGAACTATCACTTGTATTTGTACTGGGTGTTTCTGACGGAGATGGGCCAACTGCTTCCACTACGGTGGTAATATTATCTTTTACCTCACAAAGCAAATTAGGTTCACTGCTAACAAATTCTTCCTGTGATGTATCGAGAAAATAATTTTGGTGCTTTTTGGGGCCAGAATTGCATACTTCAGTGGTCAAACCACAACCGTCACCAGCTTTCACCTCTTTCTGTTCTTTAAGATTGCTTTCGATAATGGGTGTTCCCTCTGGCACCGACAGTTGTTCCTTCAAGCCACCTTTGGAGTCCAAGTTTTTTGGGTTCATAATCATTTCACTATCATTATTTTGATCTAAAGTATGAGTAGTCCGGGTGCAAGAAGATTCTGAATCTAAACCCTTTGTGCCCAATGCTGCATCACTGCTTTGAGCATCATTATGTATGCTTTTCTGGTCACTCTTCCCACAACTGAAACCATTTATTTGGCTGGAACTAGCTTGCTTCCCAAGTCCTGCTGCAGCTGTACACGACTGACCTTCCTGGCCAGCAGAACCTACCCCTTCTTCTCCCAGTGACGATGGAGGCCTCTCAGGACCTTCCTGAATAGACATTTCCTTAACACCTGTGAGTGAGTTCTGATCATGTTGGTTATCCAGCAAATCTCTGGAAGCACTAGCTTCAGGAATGCCACCTGCCAGATCATCTGTCTTCAAGTAAGTAGTTGAATCTGCAGCTTTAACACCATCTACTTCAGAATCCAGCAGGTTATCAGAAGCCAGAGTCTTCACAGGCACTGCAAAGTTCAAAGAAGAGTTCTGGTCTTTTGGATTTTCTCCATCAGAAACCAGTCCTTTCACATCTTTAGATAAATGTTGTGAAGGCAAGGATGTGCCATGACCACGAGCTAGAATTACATCAGTAGAACTTGATCTAGTGTCATCCCCATTAGGCCGGGGCCTGTATCTTCGCTTGTAAGCTTTTCTAGGGACACCAAAAGCAGCAGAATCACCCAATTCGTTTGCATTTCGACTTCTATCTAACTTAAATGAATGCTCTGATGGAGTAAGATTGCTCCTACCGGGGTGTCTAGAAGACCTATCACCTTCAGTGTATTCATTTTCACCATCAAATAGCATGAGATTGTCAGCACTGTTGGGTTCACAAAGTTGAGGAGCCCCGAGTCGACCACTACTTTCAACTGAGTCTCCATGAGGTGAAGCAGTAATTGCAAAACTACCTTTTGCTTCACTAGAACGCAGAGAAGAAAATTAGGCAAGCATAATAAGGATTAGAAAACCAACAGAACTCTGAGAAATTACCTGGTCACAAGCTGATCGGGAGGTTGATCTGTCAGAGAAGTAGACTGAACACTAAGTGAAGCAGCATTCCCGAATTTGAAATCCAGCGGATCACCACCCTGCAATAAGTAGAATCAAGTCCTGCCAAAAAATGCAAGCGGATAATTTCTGAAAGTCTAATAATAACTGGTCCAACCAACATACTTTCTCAAGAAATTCTAATTCTCTTCTCTTTTCCTCTAGGAAACAATACTCCTGCCTGTTAACAACAACAAATCTCACTGTAAGTATAGAGGAAGTACTGAAATCATTAAATTCCATATAGGCAGGACAAGGAAGTGAAGCAGCACACTAGCATTACCTAAGCTCAGCTTGAACCTCCTCAATTGCTGATCTCTGCGGAGAAGTTATGTTACCAATACCAACTCCACCTTCAAGAACTCCTCCCATTGAATCAACCTCGGCATTGACTACGGGATCAGATTCCGCACCACATCCATGCACTCCCGCCTTAAAAGCTACAGGGTGTTCCCTCCATCAGCACAAGCCTCGATCAAATTCCTGAAGACAAGAAAACGCTTAGACATCATGCAGGAACTGAAAAACCAACAAAAGTAGTAACAACTGATATTAGTACATAGATGGTTATCAAAAATAACAGATATTAGTACATGGATATCAGAAGATGTATACCCCTTGTTTGGATATGGGTAATGACTTGTTAAAAAGTATCTTTTGTAGCATACATACAAGAATTCAGTTTATTACCTTTTGTACTTCTACGAACTTAGGACACTATCTGGTTGCAGCCTCAATCACGTTCCTCTCTATCTTGAATAAATGCAAAAGAAAAAAGAAAATTAACCCTGCTTCGTAAACAGTCTACTACGGGTAGAAGTGAAACATATAACTGCAGAAAAAGGAATATGGCACAAGAGAATCCAGGTCACTTTCCAAAAGAAAGCAACTTCACAAGTATGATCTTCGGGATTCAGTTATGTTGGAAACAAGAAAATATATGTTGCCAAGGTAACATCCCTAGATACAGAACCATCAGACACATATTACTGGCTAGATGAACAGTTACTTTGAAGAGGAAGATAGTGGCATTAGTATACCTTATCAGGGCCTCTATAGAAGATACCGGAAAAATATATAGGCCTCGATAAACTATGTTAATACCTCTTAATACTTTACTTACTTATAGGTTTAAAGTGGGGCAAGACAGACTCCACCAACTGGTCTGCAAATGTAAGAAACTACGTAAATATGGACCAATGCTGGGGGAGAGAATTGCACTGCCTCAGATCCCTTTCTCACCTCGCCTTGCTTTCTAGAAAATTTTCAAGATCTACCAGGCTCTAAATTAAAGTTCTTATGCTAGTTACTAAGCAAAAACTGTACTGATCGAGTAAGCTCCTACTGGAGGATCCACATTGATCTTTCCTCTTAGGCAATTGTAGATGGTTTCATCATGTAACAGCGAGCGTACAATAGAAAAGACAAAATTTTCCCTTCAACATCCATAATATCCATGGGGACTCTTTGTACAAATTAACGGTACACAAGAGGAAAGAGTTCACATTGGAGCATAAGCTGCTTGGAGAAAAAACACATCTAAATCTAAACAGCAATGTAGCAAAAATGGGTAAGTTACTGCCCATGCACTCTGTCAATGGTTGTCCTTTTCATATTTTGATTATATGTATCCAAGATAAAATGAATATCCCATGTTACACTGCAAGTGCCTTCGTGTGAGTGTAATTGTTCGTAGCCTATACTCATCCATTAAGTATAGTATGTGAACCATTCATCTATCAGAAACTAACAACTCGGTCTCTAGAATGTAGCTATCCAAAAAAAAAGTTCATTGCACCAAAGGGTGTGGCCTAGTGGTCGGAGTGGGTGAGAACCATGAGGTTTCAAGTTGAAATTCCAACGGAGGCAAAAACACTAGGTGATTTCTTCTCATCTGTTCAAGTCTTGATGGACAAAATTACCCGGTACCTGTTGCTGGTGGAAGGTATCCCTTGGAATTAGTTGAGGTGCGTGCAAGCTGGCCCGGACACCATGGTTATAAAAGGAAAAGGTTCATGCATGATTGCATGTCAACTCAGTTGTTCGCACGACTAGGCAACACAAACAAAATTCAAATATTAAAGATGCCTGAAAGGGGGGGGGGGGG